CTGACATAGATGCTATCACACAAACTCATTAATTTTTTTGCAAGTACATATGAGATACATTTGCAAAGAAGAAGCAATTTCCCAGCATATCAGCATATGAAGCCGCTTTGAGTCAGATCACTAGTCCATTTACTGCAGTAGTGCCTGCTAAAAGGCTCTCTCAGGTTCCAAATACAGCCGGTGGTTAGAATATCAGACTCTGGGAGACCCAGGTTCAAAATCCCCACTCTGCCATGAAAGTTCGCTGGTTACCTTGGTCCATTCACGCACACTCAGCCTAACCTACCTCACAGAGGGGTAACTTCTCTCAAATGAGGGGGCTTCTGAAGAAGAAACTGAAAGGAAAGGTAAAGGTAAAGGTTCCCTTGCTCGAAAGCCAGCCAAATCCGACTCTAGGGTTGCGGTGCTCATCTCCGTTTCAAAGCCGAAGAGCCAGCGCTGTCCGAAGACGTTTCCGTGGTCATGTGGCCAGCATGACTAAACACCAAGGCGCACGGAACGCTGTTACCTTCCCACCGAAGTGGTACCTATTTATCTACTTGCAATTTCTTGCTTTCAAACTGCTAGGTTGGCAGGAGCTGGAACTAGAGACAGGAGCTCACCCCATCTTGCGGCACCCGGGTCTTGAACTGCTGAACTACTGACCTTCCACAGCCTGCAGTTCAGCGTCTTAACCACTTGAGCCACCACACCATCCCGAAAGGAAAGGTAAGGAGGCTCAAATCCCTTTGGGAAGCTTGGAGACTATTTAAAACTAAAATACTGGAAACTCAGATAAAATGTATACTGCAGATTATGAAAGGTACGAATAGGTATTAAAAAGGTCTGCATGGTTAACAAATAAAGTAATAGAAGCAGTGACAGGTAAGAAGGATTCCTTTAAGGCAGAAGGCTAGTCCAAGTGAGGTAAATAAAAGGGAGCACAGGGTTTGACAAATGCAAGTCGGTGATCAGACAGGCAAAAAGGGAGTATGAGGAACACATTGCAAAAAAATAAAGACCAACAATAAAAATCTCTTCAAATACTTTAGAAGCAGAAAACCAGCCAGGGAGGCAGTAAGGCCCTTGGATGACCAAGGGGGGGAAAGGATTATTTAAGGATGATAGGGAAATGGCAGAGAAGCTCGATGCATTTTTTGCCCAGAACCGCCAATTTCAGGAGGGGTGTCAAAAGACCTGAGTTGGATTGAGGTGACGAGAGAGGAGGTCCTACGACTGATGAACAAATGAAAAACTGACAAATCATCAGACCTAGATGGCATACATTCAAGAGTTCTGAAATAACTCAAATGTGAAGTTGTGGATCTCCTGACAAAAATATGCAACCTATCATTAAAATTTGCCTCCGTTCCCAAGGACTGGAAGGTAGCTAATGTAACACCCATCTTTAAAAAAAAGTTTCAGAGGAGATCCAAGAAATTACAGGCTGGTCAGTCTAACATCGATACCGGGTAAGGTGGTGGAATCCATTATTAAAGATAGAATTAGTAGGCACATTGATGAACAAAAGCTATTGAGGAAGAATCAGCATGGATTCTATAAGGGAAGATCTTGTTTCACTAACCTTTTAGATTCAGGCACCTTTAAAGGTGCCACTGGACTCAAAATTTGTTTTAACCTTATAGAGTTCTTTCAGGGGGTGAACAAATGTGAACAAGGGTGACCCAGCAGATGTTGTTTACCTAGACTTCCAGAATGCTTTTGATAAAAGTTCCCCATCAAAGGCTCCTAAGTAAACTCAGCAGTCATGGAATAAGAGGACAAGTCCTCTTGTGGATTAAAAACTGGTTAATTAACAGGAAACAGAGAGAGTGTAAATGGGCAGTTTTCAGAGTGGAAGGTGTAAGCAGTGGGATATTGCAGGGCTTGGTACTAGGTCCGGTGCTTTTTAACTTGTTCATTAATGATTTGGAGTTGGGGATAATCAGTGAACTGGCTAAGTTTGCAGATGACACTAAGTTGGTTAGGGCAGTGAGAACCATGGAAGACTGTGAGGTGCTCCAGAGGTATGTTGAGGCTGGGAGAGTGAGCATCAAGTTGGGAAATGAGGTTCAGTGTGGGCAACTGCAAAGTAATGCACATTGGAGCCAAAAATCCTAACTATAAATATACGTTGATGGGGTTCAAACTGGCAGTAACTGACAAGGAGAGAGATATTGCTGGGGATTATTAGGAAGGGGGTTGAAAGCAAATCAGCCAGTATCATAATGCCCCTATTAAATCAATGGCGCGGCTTCATTTGAAATACCATGTACAGTTCTGGTCACTGTACATCAAAAAGGATACTATAGCATTGGAAAAGGTGAAGAAACAGGCAAATAACATTATTAAGGTGATGGAACACATTCCCTATAAAGAAAGGTAAAAGAGATTAGGGCTCTTTAGCTTGGAGAAACGATAGAGGTTTACAAAATTATGCATGGGATAGAGAAGGTCAAGAAAGAATTTTTTTGGATGGGAGACCTCCAGAGAATACCAGGGCTGGGAGAACAGAGGCAGGTTATCAAGCCACTTCTCTGAATGTCCTCCAGCCCCAGTAGGAGTCACCAGAGGTCGCCATGACTTCCAGGCACGGGCACACACATACATGCAAAAATACCAAAAAAGAGAGAGAGATATAAGTACTTTTCTCCCTTTCTCACAATACAAGAACTTGTGGGCACTCAATGAAATTAATGTGCAGAAGGTTTAGAACAGATAAAAGGAAGGACTTCTTCACCCAAAGAGTAATTTACACGTGGAATTCATAGCCACAGGAACTGGTGGTAGCTACAAGCCCAAACAGCTTCAAGAAGGTACTGGATAAACATATGGAGCAGAGGTTCATGAGTGGCTATTAGCAACAACGTATAAATAGAACACTATGTCACAGGCAGCGATGCTCTGCAGTCTTGGTGCTTGGAGGACAACAGTGGAAGGGCTTCAGGAATTCTGGCCCTGCTAGTAGACCTCCTGATGGCACCTGGGTTTTGGCCACCGTGACACAGAATGTTGGACTGGATGGGCCACTGGCCTGATCCAACATGGCTTCTCTTATGTTTTTGTTTACTTCATTTATATCCCACCTTTCTCCACCATGGGGAGTTCTCCTCCATTTTAACCTCACAGCAATCTTGTAAAGTAGGTTAGACTGAGAGAATGCGTGATTGGCCCAAGGTAACCCAGCAAGCTTCTGTGGCAGACTACGGATTTGTATCTGTGCCTCCCAGATCCTAGTTCAACATTGTAACCACTACACCTCACTGGTTGTTGTGAGGATAAAATGGAGGAGAGGAGATCAGTGAAAGCTGCTTCTGGTCCCTGCTGGTGGGAAAACCAAGGCATAAATGAAGAAATAAACTAACACCTCCCAGCCCTGCAGCCTGAGATTCTGGAAACGCTGGTAAACTGAAAACCACACAGCAGGTTTAATAATATATTGTTCCAAAGTTGCAGTGCCAACACTAAGAACACCCTGCTCTATGGTCTAGCAGTGATAATTGATAGTGTTGGGGATATATTGTCAAAGGTCAAAGCAATGACACCCATCATGAGAAAGACGGCTGGAATTAAATAAATAGATTATTCATTGGTCTCCAACAGCACCATTCCCAATGACATCTTCTTTCCACCCATCATGAGAAAGGGCTGAAATTAAATAAATATATTATTCATTGGTCTCCAACAGCACCATTCCTAGTTTTAATACTACAAGTCTAATCCCTGTTTCATTGTACTAAATACACTGCTAATTTTTAATTTCCAGGTGCGCCTGCAGAAAATACAGTAATGAACATTTTTCAGTCATTACCTAATACAGACAGACTAGCCTATAGAAAGAGAGGCTTTGACTGGTAACAAACTGGCATATAAAAAGAAAGGATTTGACTGGTATGCTTAGGGCCATGTAGTGGCAAATGTACATTTGCTCCTCATAAATACCTTCTCCACATGAACTCAAAGACCCCGACAAAAGGACCTCCCACACTCCACATGATAACATGCATCAACTCACATGAACTCTGCTGTACTCTCTTAATACATAAATGTTCTTAGGGATAATAGACCTAGTCCCTCCATGGAAAGAGGAGGCAACTATTTCTCATGCATTTACACTACCTACATTATCCTCTAACTCACAGCTTCAGAAAGAAACCTCATATGTAATCTACACACAGGCACACATTCAGATTCATATCCAGCATGATTTACCCCACCCACCCAGGAAATTTGTTCATGGTAAAATACATCTGCAACACTTTGCACCCCAATACATACATTCTTTCTCACATATACCTGTAAGTCAACTCATATGATACCCTGGAGGATGCCCAACCTGTTCTATCTTTGCACTCACATTTCTTGTGCTTTACGTATTAATTCTTCTTTTCTCAAGTGATCACACCCTGATGATTATCCTCCCTGCACCCTGTCCTGTACTTACATCCCAAGATGACTCCCCAACCTCCTCTCTTCTCACACCCGGAAATTACCCACACATTAGTCTCTCTGAAGGCTCTTTCTCCCATACCTTTCTCCAACTCATCCCACTGGAGCCTGATGTGTGTTCAAACATACATATGGATACACAATGTACCCCCCCAACCCGCATGCACATTTCTTTCACTCTCCTATTATTGTCGCCCAGCCCCTCCTCCCACTCCAGTCTGCATGCTGGAGTCTCTGTACCCACGAAGCTGTCTCTCCTTCGTCTCGCATTCCCACGTACACATCCGCCCATGGATTTCGCACACACAGTATATAAGGCTATTCGGGTAAAATCGGGTTTTCCCGTAATGCACTCAAGCCGGCAGGACCCGACCGCCTCCATGTCCCCGAGGCGCGCTCAAAGCCTATCATCCTTGGGAGAGGCCTGGTCCTTCTTTGCCCAGCTCGGGCGCTCGCTCTCCCTGCAGTCAGGCGGGCGGCTCGACTAAGAAGGCAGGGGGTCGAAGCGCGGCCTAGAGCCTCTAAGGGGCCGTTCCAGGCCCGGTTGCCACTCCTGAGGCGCGCTCCCTTACCCTGCATGCTGCTTACTGCCGTGTGCGCCGACTGGGACCCGCCGCCAGGGCCGGAGCCAGAGCCGGGACCGAGGCTGGGAGCCGCCATTGTGCAGCGCGCCACTCGCGGAGGGAGGGACGGATGGGTGGGTGGACGGACGGCGGGCGGGCAGGAGGGAGGGAGGGAGGGAGGCTGCAATGCAGCAGGAGTAGCACAGCGGACCGACCCCGTCCCGCCCGCGGCTCCTCGCTCGCTCCCGCCTCAGCCAGCTGACGGGGCACACAGAGCGCCGACTCGGGACAACAGGCTCCAGCCTCTCTGCGCCCGACAGACCCAAAGCCCCCCCCAGTTCCCCAAAGCTGATGGGGCTCCGCTCCTCTCTGTCGTTCCCTCCCACTATCACGTAAAGATAACCCCTCCCCGGCAGCTGGGGAACTGATGATGCCTCTGGCTTCTTTGCCCAGAAACGCAAGCAGGGCGGGATTGGAGGAAGGTTGTCCTCGGCCTCCAGTCTGCCAAAGTTTTTCCCCACCACAGCACTGGTTCGCTAAGGGGAAAAGGAACCTTAGAAAGAGCCAGGGGGATACTTGGCTTATAGACGCCAAGTTATCCAGTCCCTGGAATGTGGTACCTTAGGCGTGTGATCCTGCACGGCTAAGGCGTCTGCTCTATAAGGATGAGGAAGGGTATAGCAGACCGGTAGTGAGGGTGGTGCAAAAAGGGACCGTGCCCCAGCAGTCATTTGTCATGCCCCTCCAATCAGGAGGGAGAGGTTGCTGTGCAAGCTGTCACCAGTCTTTCAAGGGTAAATTCTGTTATGTAAAGAAAAAGGATGCAGCTGAGTTTAAAAGGTATCGATCTTGCCATGCATCTTCGGTGTATGGATTCTCTCTGCAATTGGCTAGAACAGAATTAGCAGTTAGCAGGACTGAAGAGTCTTGATTTTAAAAGCCTGCAGATATATATAAAAGGCAAGCTATGCTGGTGACAACTCACCTACTCTCCTATTGGCCACTGGGGAAGCTGCCTTGGTGTCTTATTGGCCTGTCCCACCAGATCCTCCATTCTTACACCCCCACTTTTGATGTGTTGCACCTTAGGAGTTGTAGTTCTTAGCTGGCCTTACTGCAACCATAGCAAAGGGAATTAGAACTACAACTCCCAAGCTGGTAGTCCCAAGAGGCCGTGGGGCATTAGCAGCAAGTCAGTTAAACTGTTAATCAGTTAAAGTGTTAAACAGGAAGCAGCTTTGGAATTGAAATGGGGGGGGAGGGAAGGCCTGGACATCTCTCTGAATTACAATTGCTCTCCAGACTAGAGATCAGTCCCCATAGAGAAAACGGTTGCTTTGGAGGGTGAGCTCTATGTCATTATACCTCATTGATGTCCTTCAACAAACCTGGCCCTTCCCTTAGTATTGCCAAATGGCTGCTTTGGACAGTGGATTCTATGGCATTATACCCTGCTGAGGTGCCTCCCCACCCCAAGCTCTGCCCTCCCCAGGTTCTAACCCTCAAAACTACAGGTATTTCCCAACCCAGAGTTGGCAACCCTGTAACTGGCTACAGAACTGCTTTCCAGACCCTTGAAAACCAGAAATCATGACATAGGAGGAGGTGCTTTTCGATCTTAGCTGCCACTGCATAGGGAACCATACCTGTTACCATGCTGCTGTCCTCTCATACTACCAACTTGAATAGTCTAGTTGGGCCAAGAGACCTTAATGGAAAATCCATTCCACATTTTCTTTGCAACTCTTCTTGTACTGTAATGTATTTCAATGGAGTCCATGCAAGTCAATTGGCATTCTTATACCATGTCTTGTTAAAATTCAGAGTTGAGCAGTTTGAAAGTGTGTGTTATCTGTTATTTCTTATTTGTTAGAGTAGTCAGTAGTTCTATCTTTGTAATAAACCTGAAACATTTTTGTATGATATACCTGTCATGATCTGGGCTATACAAGCAAGGCCTGGCAGGCCTAGGGAGCCTGTGTAGCAGTGGGAGAAGGCTAGGCCTACAACTCCCAGAAGTCCTTGAGAGGTTTTGGCACCAATTTTAGCCAATCACAGGAAAAGGGGGCTGGTACAGAAGAAGAGTTGTTCTTTCTTCCAAGAGAGCAGGACCAGAAGGAAGGCTGCTGCTGGGAGAGACCCTCACCCTGAGAGAGAGGGTGAGTAAACTCAGGCCCAACTGAGACAGTGGACTAGGGACTGTGAGTCTGGTCGCGTTAGGTCATTTGGTTTCTTTTCCCTTCACCCACTTACTGTTATTGTTCTTGCACCTTGTTTATTTCCCATATTTGACTGACCTGTAAAATAAACGTTTTATTTGTTGTTTACTCTGCCTGGTCCTCACGCCTATTATTCGGCCAAATAAGGGAGGTCTGAAGGTCTTGGGAGGGTGCTCTGGGCCTTCTCAAGGGATCTTAAATCCAGAGTGGTGGCAGCGTCAGGTGACACCCCACCTTTGCCGTGACAACACCACTTGTCTTTATTATTTAGAAGAATAAGCATGGCAATTTTGTGCAGACATACTATGGGCTGCTCTCCACTGTGTTTTTTTTATTATTATTTTGAGAATTATTAAGGGTACAGAAAGGAAAAGGGGTATTGGAGAATTTAAAAAAAAATAATTATATAAATGTATTTACATTGATCAATGACATTCTCATTTTTTTTATAATGCATTACACCAAGATATAATAAGCTTCATTTCACAGCTTCTCTTTTACAATTGTAACATAACAATAGAGTCACCCACCATCATGAACCAAGGGAGTGCAAAGAACCATTAGATAAAGATAGCAATTGTTAAGGCCTATTCCAACTATCCATCGTATATATAAAAGCTTATCTCTCCACTGTGCTAAGATGCCCCATTAACAAAAAATATGCACCCTGATCAAAAAAACTATTGGGTATGGCCCTGGCTTGCCTCCCTCTATTCTCCCCTTTCCTCCACTGCCTCACCAGGCACTCACCTGGATCCTCTTTCTAGAGCTTGTTGTATTTCTCCCCACAATGGGCCTTACTCCTAGTGTTGGAATTAAAACAGAGAGAGATATTAAGAAATGAGGGGATAAAAATCATGTTGTCGCAAACTCAGAACAAATAAAAGTAAAAGGTAGAACAGAACAGTCCTGTAGAATTCTTATTGCTGGGGAAATTATTTTCGACAGAACAAGAAACAAATAATAAGGGATTTAGGCCCAGATGTAAGTGAGCACAAGTCTTCTTTCATTTATATCTGCTACCTCTCAGGAATCTTATTCACAGCGGAGGATTGTGGTGTTTACTCTGTAGATGGAAAGCTTCTGGGAAAGGATCCCTTACCTGTGGGCAGCTCAGGGATCATGCCACTGTTGCTCGACCCTATGTATGTTCACTTAGAAAAGAATCCTACTCATAACTTGATCCTATGCATTTTATTCACTTTATTTATAGGCTCCTTTTCTCACTGAGACACAAAACTGATTTGATCTTATGCATTTTATTCACTTTATTTATAGTCTCCTTTTCTCACTGAGACTCAAAACTGATTATCCAGTGTAAGTCAATGCAATCAGTCAGATGAGACATCTAATAAACAATGCAATAAGATGAGGGTTACGACAATTTGGTATTACTAAGGTAGAAAGCAATGCTCTAAGAGCAGGATAATACACACAGCAAACAAAGTATATAACATACAGTTAATATAGCTCAGTCATGTTCCTTTTATACAAGCTCCTCCCTGAACCATTCCATTATATAGTGCTATTACCTTTATAAAATGCCTTTTTGAACCATTCTATTTTACATAGTTTGCAGAATGACCAAAGCTCTCCTGACTTCCTCAGGAAGGCCATTGGACAAGATGGAGCCACAACAGAAAATGCATGTGTATGGGCAATTGCTGATCTTACATTTTTGTTGTGTGGGTGATATTACCCATTAGAAGCCTTGAGCTAGTGATTTAGTCTGTCTTCAATTTATGCATCATTTTAAAAAGTTTTTATAACTGTGATGTGCATACTGGGAATCTCATTTGGTTTAATAATGAATCGTGTAAGAAAATTGACAGGTTTATAAGGAGAACCCAACAGTTGCTAAATTTTAAGCATAGCACTGCAACAGAGACTTAAGAGTTTTTAGAGAAGTAAACCAAATTATTCTCCAGACCTATGTACATAAAATCAAAAATTCAGCTTGTTTCCCCAAAAACAAAAGGAATGCCTAGGCAGGTTCTAGCTACAGATGGTATGACAGGCGTTCTTGGTATGAAAGCTGGGTTTTTTTTAAAGATATTTTGTATTTTAAATTTTATATAGGGTACAGAAAAAAACAAAAGGTGTGAGGAGGAGAAAAATAAACATAAGGCAATTTTACAAATATTCAAGGCAATATAAATATAAATGAATTAATAAATCTAGTTAAATTGTTATAACATTACCAGTAACACTGTTTCCCTAAAAAAATTATCCGCTATTCTCAGTCTGAAAAGAACTATGAAGAAAATAGTGAAAACAAACATTTTATATCAATTAAAATTGCCAGAAAACCATTTAAAATTATTTATAACAACAAGGAACTAACAAATATAAAACATTCCAAATAACTGATAAAAATCATATTATGCAGAATTGGTAACCATTGATTAATTGAATAATCAAAACATAATACTCATAGAATCATAGAGTTGGAAGGGGCCTCTAGGATCATTTAGTCCAACCCCCTGCACAATACAGGAAATTCATAACTACCTCCCCTCACACACCCTGTGCACCCTGTGACAGCTGTTCCATGCCCAGAAGATGACAAAAAACCTCCAAGATCTCCAGGTCAGTTTTCTTCCTGACCCCAAAGTGGCAACCAGGATTTCCCTGGAGATGTAAGAAAGGACCACAAGAACTAAGCACTGATGAAGCCCTTCCTTCCCTCTCTGTCATGATCTGCCTAAGTTCACAGAATCAGCATTGCTGTCAGATGGCCATCTAAGCCTCTGTTTGAAAACCTCCAAAGAAGGAGAGCCCACCACCTCCCGAGGAAGCCTGTTCCACTGAGGAACCACTTTAACTGTCAGGAAGTTCTTCTTCTTCTTTCCCCCCCCCC